TTTTTTTTTGAGGCTGGCCTTGAACTCCCAACCTCAGGTGATCCACCCACCTCGGCCTCCCAAAGTGCTGGGATTACAGGTGTGAGTCACCGTGCCCGGCCCCAGTTTCTCTTTTTGACAAAGTGTGGGTCTCAAGCTCACGCCTTCAGCAAGCCACAGTATCTCACTAGAATTTAATAAGGCTGTTTTGCACAACTAATGGATTCAATAGTGGGTTCCTGCTACTGCTCTCTAGACTGGGGCTAAAAAGGGTTTTGCTGCTAATGCAACGGTTCTCAAAGTATGGAACCCGAACCAGCCGTGTCACTTGGGAACTTGCTGAAAATGTAAATTCCTGGGTTCTCATCTCAGATCCACTGAGTCACAGACTCTGGGGGTGGGGCCCAGTAATACTGCTCACCCTCCCAGGTGATCCTGATGTTGTTAAATTTTGAGAGTCCCTGCTCTGCTGCTCTGTCGGGTTCATTCTTCTACCCAACCACTGGCAAGCTCCTTGGCCCAGCTGACCCCACGGACCCAGTACCTGTCCCCTCCTCCTACCATGTCCAGCTGCTTGTGGGTGTCCTCCAGGGCCACCTCGGTCACCTCCTTCAGCTGCTTGCTCACGATCTGGAAGAGGTTCAGCGTGGCCATCTTAATAGTGCCAAGCAGGAGCGTCTTCTTGGCTGCGGTGTTCTGAATGTGTGCCCAGCGAGATTCCTGGGGAGGGGATAAGGACGGGGCATGAGCATAGCATGTGGTGTGTGTGTGCGCGTGTGTGTGTGTGTGTGTGTGTGTGTATGTATGCTCAGGGCCCTCACTCACCCAGTGCCCAGGCGCCCCCTGGCCCGCCCCGGGCCCCTCACCCAGATGATGACATTGCTGCGGGCATGGTCGAAGCGCATCTGCAGCCTTGCCAGCTCATTGTTTTGCTGCAGGATCTCATCATCCTTTTCCTCCATGTAGCGCGCCAGCCGGGCCTTGGCGCGCTCAATCTTCTCCTGGCCCTCCTGCGCAGACTGCATGAGGTCGTGGTGCATGCTCACCAGCGTCTTGTAGCGCGCAATCACCTCATGGATCTCCTCGAACTGTGGTCAGGGGCTCAGGTCAATGCACAGCCAGTCCCGGGGGCCTGAGGGAGCCACCCAGTCCTGCCGACCCCCAGCCTGGAATGCCCGGACACCTGGACACCTGGGCAGGCAGGCCCTTGGCCAGGGTCATGGCCAGAGGCTGTGAGGGACGCTGGGGTCCCGCTGCCTGCTTCTCCTGGGTTTGTATGGGCCATGGTACATTTGTTGGGCAGAGGGATGTACAACTGGGCCAGGGATTTTCGATTTTAAGTGCATGTGAGAATCACCTGCAGGGGCTTTACAAAGGACACCTGCCAGTCTCCACCCCCGCAGATTCGGATGAATAAACAAGTCTTCTGTGGTCTCTGGCATCTGAATGTTGCAAAAGATCCCTAGGTGGTTCTAGGCACAGCCAGGTTGATAATTGCTGATGGAAGGCAATTTGTAACATCTCCCGAGGCAAGAATTTCCTATTCAACAAGATTGTACCAGGAACCACTTACAAGCCAGGAGCTATGCTAAATGCTAGGGAAATAGCAGGAGATAGGAAAACCAGACTCTGCTCTTAGGAAGCTTACAGCTTGAGGGAGGACAGACAGACAAGGAAACAGTCAGTTACAACAGCAAGAAAAGCCCTCCCTATGACTGGGGGATGGGGCAGGATGGGACTCTGGGAAAACCTTCAAGTTGGTCATCTCTGGTAGTTATTCATTTGCTGAGGGAGAAGTAGGGGTTGGAGAGGATGCTGGTGGGGCAGGTGGCCTGCCAGACTCAGCTGACCTCCCCCAGAGCTGACCTCCCCCAGCCTGGTCCAGAATCATGCCAGTCCAGCCCTAACCCTCAGGTCCCACTCAGTGGAACAGAAGTCCTGAAACCCACACTCTTTAGAAGGCAGCACGAACCCCATTTCTGTGATGCCAAGTTGCCTTCCTAGGGGCTTATCAAAGCGTGCCTTTCAGCCACCCAGGGGAAACTTCCCGAGCACCTTCTCCATCTCATGACATCTCCAGTGATGGACGCATGTCCTGGGAACTGCCCTGCTGGCCTTTCCCCAAATATGCCTCTTTGGGGAAGGGCCACACAGCCCAGCACTGAAGGAGGTAGGAACAGCCAGAAAAGGTTTCTTGGGAGAAAGGGTGGCTGAAATGAGATGGGAGGTATGAATAGAAGATAGCCAGCAAAAGCAGGTGTAGGGAGGTGAGGCAGTGCCACAGGTGAAGGCGACAGCCTGGGCAAAGATGAATGGAATAGGGGGTGGTTTGTTCAGGATGCTCAAGGTAGCCTGAGTTCAAGATGGGGAGGGAGAGATTGAGAAGAAGAAGAAAGGAAGAAGAAAGAAGAAGAAAGAATGAGGG